TTTAAAAAGATGATTCTGGGTTGTAGGTTCCAGACTATTTCATAGTTTGCACTGTTTTTCATATTTTGTAATGACCTGCTCTCCTTTCTCATTTTATTTATGGTAAAAATAAAATAAAATTAAGTTAAACTCATTGGGTCGACTACTATAGGAAACCCACCTTCCTTGGATGCATATGCTTTGGGACCTCCATGTACATCTACATAGAAGAGCTTTGCAGTTGGGCAGCAAACAATAAAAGTATAGGGACCATTAAGATGTTTTCATTTGTTTCACTCTTACAGACACATGTCGAAGTGCTCATCGGTGACTGTAATTCTATATATTGCCTGTTCTGTGAGATTACATTTGTAAGATTCAAGTGGAATCAAAACTTTATTGAATTTACAACACAGTAGATATTTAGCATACCAAATACAAAATATAGAAAGTGGTTGTTATTATTATTATTCTTACATGCAAAAAAGTGTTAAGTTCATTGCCTAAAATTTTAGTTTGTGAATGACATCACCAGAATTGGAAACCAGACCTGTCTCATTGAAAAGTGCATGCTCATTATACTATAGTTCCAAAATGATTGTACACGCACATTTTTCTTCAAAACATCCAAGTCTGTTATTTATCTAAACCTTCTATTTTCAATAGGTATTCTTAGACCATTCAATTATTTTTCCTAATATGTTAAGAACATTGGATGAAGATAGGCAAAATTCATTCGAGTGATAAAAAATTGTCAAAATGGACATAACACAATGATTTGCTGTTCTTTATTGGGTGTTAATTAACACATGAATATTTTACTTGGATTAGTCTATTGCGGAGCTATAGTACTATTTATTTATTTATTGTTGTTGTTCTATTACAGTTGTCTCAATTTTCCCCTGTTGCTCTCCCACGCCCCTCCCATGCCCCAACTCCCACAGTCGGTGCCCCCCTCCCCCCTGTTGTCCATGTCCATGGGTCATTTATACTTGTTCATATTAGGAAGAAAAGTCTTCATATACACTAGCTACATAAATTGTTTTGAATTAGAGATATTTAAGTGATGTTTCTAAGTTAGTTCTTGATTAACACGAGTATCAACATTATTGAAGTCTAACTGCACTGCCTCATAATCCCTGAAAGTTTCCTTTCAAAGCTGTCAAAGAAAATTTTTATAATTAAGTATTTCAGAAATCTTCGTTTATCTTTCATCTGCATTTAACTTGCAGTGTAGGAAGCAGATTACTTACAGGTTTAGAAAATAGTCCCTTTCCAAAAGATTATATTAACCATATTTAGGTATGGTTAAGGAGAATGATAGAATTATTTCTTTATACCCTGTATAATTATAGTCCTTTGATTAGACTTTCATATAACCTGACAGAATTCAATGCTATCGGAGGAGATAAAGACGTGTCAAGAAGTGAAGGCTGAGAATGAATAGGCCTTGGAAGGAGCTGATCTTTCCCTGATCTGATAAGAAGTCTTCCTTTTTCTGTTTCTGTCCTTTGCCTTTCAGAACCCTGCATAGAAGAAGCCTTTTCTCTGATTAGCAATAGACTCTGAGGATTTCAGTATTTGAGGACAAGACCTATGTAAAGAAAGTTCTAAAACTGATACACAATTTCTGTGCTGTTTTTGTCTTTAGTCTGTAGCAATTGCTAAAATCTTGCTGGGAAATTTTTCATTAACCTGAAATAGTTCTCTACTGATGTTTTTGATTTTGATAATACTTTATCTTCAGATAGTCTATGAATGACAAGTGATGTTAACACTTTTTATGGGTTTAATGGAGACTGAAGTTTGTTCTTGTGAAATGAGCATTAACTTTGGAGTCAGAAGGCTTAGAGGTTCAAGTACATTTTGATCAACTTCTGAGTCCTTAAAACATCATTAAAATGATTTTCTATTTCAAATGTTCAAACCCATAGCTAGTTAGGGATGTATATATATTATTATATGTCTATGACATTACATATATCTTTATTGTTTTATGCCCAAAGGATTTTTATATACATCCTGTGTGCTGTTTCATTTATAATCGAGTCATTTTATGAATCTTTCTGAATGTCTGAATATGAGCAGAATTAAGTTTTAGTTTTCCGTCACAGGTGTTTATGCTGAGTTGGGTTCTTTGTCTCTATCCAGAGCTTGATCTAATTTTAATGATCGATGCTATTACTATAAATTAAATGAGAAAAATATGTTTTCTTTTTTCCTGAGGTGTTATAGTTACAGGCTATCCTTCCACAGCCAATATGGAAGCAGGAATGCTCTACCAAGCAAATGATAGAATTATTTTCACATTTTATTATGTGGGAATTGTATTAGTCTTAACACATTTGGCCATGACATTTAATCGTTGATCATTAGCTTTAAAGAAAAATATCACTTGTCCAGAATAGAAGTTAATTAGGGACTGCAAGTGTCCAGGAGACAGGTCAGTTTTCTATAAGTCAAGACGAGCTGGTGTTTTGCCACAAGAAAGAGCACCATCAGTAATTATTTGTTTTAGTCCCCAAGATAGACTTTTTAAATATCTAAAGTCAGTATTATGTTTTATGATGAATTTTGCTGGATTCAAAACTATTTTATTAATTTCTTCATGAACAAGGAAGATAACAGTAGTGCATTTTGCGACTATGTATTTTTATATTTCCAAGCCAGGGATGTAAAAATTAGCAACTTTTGAGCTTCAGACCAACTTTTTAATGTATATGTTTTTTTAAATATACAACTATATCTTTTTAAGTTTCTAAAACTATTGCTGAATCATGCTGAGATGACTACTGTCATTATAGTGTATTAAGCATGGGTTATGTTTACATTATAAGCCATGTGATTCTGGCTCAGACCTATTAGTTGTACTTTCTTACGCTGTCTAGAGTAGAGAAGCCTGCTAGAGTTTGAGCTCTTTCCTTGACAACTGTATGCCCCTGTGGCTGAATATCCCCTCTGTGCTTTGTTTGTTGGGATGCATTGTAAAAGGAAGCATCTTAATAGTCCTCCCTAAGAGGTAGAGCCATTTTAGAGTTCTAATATTTCTTAATCCACAAAACAATATCTAACTTATTTTATTTTACCCAGTATTTTGTTTAAATTTGTGTTTAAGTGTATTATTTACTGCATATATATGAATGTTCAGCTGTTCTTACACTGAGGGAAGGCTTACATTTTACATTTTGTCCAGAGTATACTTTCATCTTTATTTTCTCCTTTTGTCTTTCTTTATCTTCCCACACTGAATTTTTTTCTTTAATGAAGAAATCACTTCCATTTTTACTAACTTTTTTGCTACATTTTCACACTTAATTTTGGTTTTCAAAAGTAGAGTCATGTAATACTACTGAGATGTATGCGCTGTTCTTTGCACTTTGCTCTGTTTAGTCCTTTGTTTTTGTATGGATAAAGAACCTTGTCTTGGTTTCTCTCCGGTACAGTGTCTAACATTGACTAGCTCCTATTACACTCCATTTCTTTCTGGTAGTTGATAATTGAAATTTTTGTCATTTATGCGTGCTGGACAATTTCCTTTCAGTTCATCTTAGGGACTTTCAAAGTGAGATCTCTCATTCAGCAGTATTTTGTAGTCATGGATAATACCTACATAATAGTACAGAAAAATAAACAGATTATATTCAATAGCAGGTAATAGAAGTCAGTACACTAATACAAAAACTGCTGTGAAGGGTTGTTTCCATTGTCCAGTGTTGTCTGCACTTGCACAGAACGGACACGCACTGAGGCTAGTTCCTAGTGAAAGATTAAATGCATGAACCAGTGAACTGCTGTGAGACTTACACTTTTTAGTAAAACCATGCCTAATCATTTATCTCTTAACAAATGGGTGTAATACAGTCACATGTATTATGTTTGATGTCATACTTGTCCTGTCACTGTCACTATCTTCTAACTCTGGGTGTGGGGCAGACCACAGATCTACAGGCTGAACCATTTTCTCACATGGACAGAGTGAAAATGGAATCATAATTATTCTTCAGAGTTAGATGGCTGTTACACCTATTGCTTAGCGTCTGCCAAGCACTGTTGTAAGCACTTTATATGTAACTCATTTAATTCTTTTAACAATTCACGAGGTAAATGCTCACATTATTCACATGAGAATATGGGAGAAGAAACTTAGGTTTTCCCAAGTTTGCACAGTTAGTATGCAGTAGGGTTGGTACTCTGGTTTCATGTTTGTGTTCTTAATCACGTTTCGTCTCTGGTAAAATCTTATTACATGGAGAACACAATAGTAACACTGGGAGATACAAAGAGAAAGCCTAAAAACAAGGGAAGAAAAATAAACAAATCTATCCGAAAAAAGTGATTAGCAGACTGGCATAATAGACACTTTATCTCCAATCTAGGGAAATAAGTCAGTATGCAATTCTCCAACTCATTTAGTATTCAAGAGTGAAAGTAACTAAAGCCATTTGCAGCTGTGCAGATTGTGACAGCTTGCTACTACTCACAGGTTATCTCTGAAAGGACTATTAAGAATGTTCTTCAGCAAGGTGGAAATTACTACATTGTTGTGGCTTTTGATTAAAAAAAACTCAATATGCTATTAAAAAGATGCCTAGTACAGTGCTTAATACATACTTATTGATTTCTTAGTGTCATTTCCTTTCCACTTTTATAGAAATATATGCTGTAAATGTATGTACTAACAGAAATTTACCAAGATTAATATACTCAATGATTAAAGCTTTTTCTAGAAACTGAAATGTTAGTGCCACTTGAAGAAGACACTACTGCCGATGCTGGTAGAGTTAATGGACTTATGTATTGAGGAATAGTCTCTTACTTACATTACTAAAAGGTACAATAAATACATATACTGTATATCAATTTTAGTAGGTAAGATTACTAAATTATTTAGAATTTGTGAATCATAAATAAGGAGTTGCTCCTGTTTTTTATGCTCGTGATTGATTTCAAAGCCCAAGCACTCTAACAACTACATGTTTATGTGGTCATTGGAATACTAAGATTTATTGTTTTCTTTTCAGCGCCTGGCTTTGGAAGCAGAGAAAGTTCAAGCAGCCCACCAGTGGAGGGAGGATTTTGCAGTAAGGACACTTTTTTTTTACCACTTGGTTTGCAAGATGATTTCTGGTATTTGCAAAGTAATGATTGCATTAGAATATTTTCGTGATGAAATCTTATGATATTATGGGAACAAAAAACAGCTATAGTTTGTTGCTTCAAAAAACTGCTTTGGATAGTCAGGACCAATTAAATTATTCAGAATGTTCCTGGTTATGTTCCATATATCTTTTAAAATGTTCATTGACATGTTCTTTCATACTCCATGGTATTTATAAAGTTAGTTACAATAAAATAGCATTAAATTACAATATCCAAATGAACGTTGTAGATATCATGAATATACTAGTTGAAAACAAGTTACATTTAAACACTTCGTTTGTGAAACGTGACATGCATATTATAATCACCTTGATGGTAGGCAATGTGATTAAAGTGAGACTATATTAAACCTCATAAAATTAAATTTGTTCTACTTTAGCTAGAAGTAATCTTTCATCTACTCTGGCCTACTTTTAGAAATGCCAGCTGATATTAACTTTTCTGTGAATTAACTTCTGTGCTCCAAGAATCATTGTGCTGATTATACAAATAGCATAAATTATTCTTATGATGAGTGCTATCTACCCATCTATCTACCTGTCTATCTTCTTTCACCCAGTTAACACAGTGAAGAAGTCTATCTGTAATAGTCAGTTAAATATTTCTGTTACATATTTGACTTTTTCATTTATATTGAATTTTGGGGGGGTTCTGATCATAGAAACATTCCAGACAATTTATTTTGAGGACCTTCAAATAGGAATGGACTATAAGCAACAACTTGATTTTACTATTCAATTGTCTTTGAATGTTTTGCAACACTAAAATCTCAAATTTGAAAGTTATATATGCTTCAGCAGAACACTAAATTGAGGTTCAGTAATTAGCACTTTTACTTTGTATTTTTATGATTATATTGTATAGGAAAGGAAAACTTACTAAATGATATTTACTTGTATGATACTGGTTAATCTGTACTTGTTGCTTCAGATATTTATTTTTACTATCTTCTCCTCAAATTAATATTTCATAAACAGACTTTTAATCTACTAAGTGAAGACTCTATCTGACTACTATAGGTTTGATTTTGTCCCTAAATTGATCACATTGCTTAATTTGTCAGTATCATGCAAATGCTAACTTGGTCTATAATATTTTGTCATAGGTAGGTTAAGAAAGATCAGTTTGTCATTCATAGTATATAAAGAAAATCAGATATTAAATTGAAATTTAATTCTGTGTTAAAAATTAATACAAAGTATTGAGTACAAATTGTTAGCTCATGCAGTGAAGATTTTACAATGTAGTTTGTTACTTTGAGATAAAAGGAAACAGATTTGTTTATTGAATAGAAAAAAACAGCTGAACTTATTTATCCAAATAAGTATCCTTTTGATTAATTAATTGTTTTCTCCAACTTATGTGGCACAGTAAAATCCAGTGTAAAATCATAAAAAAATGTAAAGCTAGACCATATATTCTGCCTAGAATTGGTATAGTAAAATTGGTTGTTTTAGTTTAAATCACAAGTAATGGGAGAATCCCAAAATTATTTTTATCCAGGTCAGATTCTTTTATATATAGATTCCATTGCTTTCAAAAAGATTTTCTTAGAATTAAAGTAATTTGATAATTTTTCACATAGCCATTTATTAGTTTATGTTTTTTTTGTTTTTCTAAAGAATAATGTAAAAACTAACTTGGCAAGGAGGGATGCAGTAATGCCATTAATATAATTGTTGTTTTATTCAATTAGTATGTTACTGCTTAATGGATATAAAGTTCCTTTTCCCAGATATATTATAAATGATTTGATATCAAGCTGATTAGCTCTAAATTAACATTTGGCAATGATTCATTTCTCCTTATGGAAGTAATCATTGACCATTCTAGATGGCATAAAAACTTAGCGTATTAGCTATTTCAATATTTTATTGAATCTAAGACATCATTAATTGTAAGGTTCTCTATCATTTATATATTTCTCAGAAAGAAAAAAAGAATTCAATTAAATTAAAATGCACCAGCAATTTGAAGCTGTATTCTTATTTGTCAGATGTCAAAACGTGGAAAAATTACCTTGCAATGTAACGCCTGTCGTCTACTTTCTCAGTACTATATCCAAATCAAAGCGCTGCTAGAAGAATTTATGCAAGAGGAAATGTTAGTTCCACGTTGACACAAAAGCCATTACCAAGTCTTACGTGGTAAAACAGAAAAATAAGTTGTTTATCCAGTAAATATTAGGAGTTAGCATATAGTAGCCACAGTGTGGAAAAATTCTTGGATAAATTCTGTTCTTAATTTCCCCTTAGGTTACCTTGTAATTTGTTTAGGACATATGAACATATCCACTGACATTAAAGGAGACTGTTAAAGGGCAAACAAATCAGGCCACTTAAGAGCTTTGTCAACTCATTTTCTCAGTCCTTTTTGAAGGACTGTAAGTGATCTTTGGGGGACACATATCTGTCACATTTTGCACACTGAGAATTGATATTTCTCATATCTCACCACACCAGTCATGCATAAAGTCTTTATCATAGCCCTTGACTTTGAAATACCATAGGTGATAAAATGGTCAGATAGGAAGCTTTTGTGTGTGAAGAATAGGATCTGAATGAAGATTTCCTGAACTTCAGAATCAGATAGGAAATAGTGCAAAAATAAGACTCCTTCCCCCATCCCCAGTTTTTTGTTGATAAACTAGATGGTGCCTCAGTCCATATATATATATATATATATATATATATATATATAGAGAGAGAGAGAGAGAGAGAGAGAGAGAGAGAGAGAGGGATAAGGTTAACTCCTTCAAGGCCATTTATACAATCAAATTAAAATTTCTGCATGGCCAAGATTGGACATTAGAAATCATCACAAATAAATCTCCCCTTATTTTATGAAAGCACACAAAACAATTGCAAATTTTATCAATGTTAACTAAACATTTAAAAATGTTTAATTTGAAGTTAACTGCCACCATATTTGCAAAGGTCCTCCTTTTAAACTTTCTAAGACTTTGAGCTTTTGAGCTATTTAACTATTTGCATCAGTGCAGTATTTCTTTAATGCTGTCCTTTAATAATTTAACACTAAGATGATTTGGAAGGCAGAAATAATTTTCTAAGAGGTACATTAACGTTTCAAAAAGAAATATAATATTCTGATTCTTCCCTCAAGTATAAGTGGGTAAGTTTTATTAATATTATTTAGTCAGAATGTTGATTAACATTTCCTACTATATAAGATAGAAAATTCTAACAAACAACAAGAACAAAAGGCAAAGTACTAAAATATGGCAACAAGAAACGGATCATGTAATTGACACTCTTCTCCCTCAGCTTAATTCCCAACTGAGTGTACAATGCAAGGAACAAAGGGCATACACTTTAAATGGATTAAGATTTATGCGCTCATGCATTTACTAGTTCAAAGCAATGTTTGTAAATAAGCTTCGTCTGCCAGCTGCCTTTCCATCTCCAAGCAAATTACTGGTGTTAAAGGTGACATTTTGTGTCATTTATGATGGACAAATTATTGTTTTAAGGTCAGGTGGGATAAGGAAAACAAGCTTGGAAAACTAATTGTTCCACATGAAATCATTGCTGTTACTTCTACAGAACTGATCTTTTCCCATTGCATTTGAAATCTCATTTGATTGTATTGCGATGGTTGGTTAACTGCAGCAGTTTTGTTTCCAACTAAGCCTGCAATATTAAATGTACTTACACATGTATAAACATAAGGGGTGCCTAATTTGTATTTTAATAAGTAGGATCTTTATGTATGGGTTATTAGCATCAGCTTGTTACTGTGCAGGCTTAGTACAGGCGTCTAGAAATTGGCCAGTAATTAAAACATTTGAGGAGCTGTTTATAGCTTCAGCTCCACAGAGAAACTCAATTAGAAGATGAAAATTTTTCTGGTGAAATTGAATGTTCTTGAGTGTCAATCAGGAAAAGTTAGTTCTAATTTAGCTTTAATTATATATACAGGGGTAGGCAAAAGTAGGGTTTCTAGTTGTGAGTACACCAAACACAGATTAATAAAGCTATTGTAATAATCATAAACTGCATGTCTTATTCCATACAAACAATGCTAAACCTACTTTGCATATATGTATATAATCAGTTTGCCCAAATCAGATTATGAAATGTTATTTTAAAAGTAGTAATATTTATAATCTTGTTTTTATATGAGTTAAGTTAATAGGCACTGGTATTATATATTTTATTATTCTATCTTATTCATTTCATGGAATTGCATTACTTCTATTGATAGCAGCACAAACCATTGTAAATATGTGAACCATAAAGACATACTTCGTTTATTTTGCTTACAATGAATAAAGATAAACACTATTCTGAATTATAATTTGGTGTAAGTTTTGGATATAAAAGAGCTGAACTTTTAGTGATTAAAAAAGGGGGAAGTAAAAAAGGTGGGGGAGTGGGGCTTTGTCTTAATGTATAAATGAATGAATGTAATGGAGCATCAGAGCGATCATTAGTCTGTCTGAGTTTCCACCTTTGGTAGAATTGCCTTTTTGAAATCAAGAAGTTGTATATTTTAATATCTTTTGCAACACTTCTATGTAGAGAGAGACAATCAATTATTTTTACTGCTGCTTTCTTTTAAGAGTCTTGTCAGTCTTTCTTCATCATTAAGACAGATGGAAAGGAGCCACAGTGCAAAACTGATTTACCCCTAAATTGTGGGAAACCAATTTAGTGGAAAAGACTAGGGCAAATTCATGTTGTCTTTCTCTTTTGGTTTATGCATACTTATAAATGCTCAGGGTAAGAGCATTATAAAACAGCAGAGCAGAAAAAATAACCATGGGCTTTAAATTATTAGTGATACTAAGGGAAAACCCTTATCTTTCATTTCTTATGTGGAAAAATAGAAGAATTAAAATGTTCATTCATTAATTATCTAGCCAATAATATTTTTAACAGTTTTTTAGTACTTTCTAATG